TATACCTATTTTTCAGATTATCAATCTAATTATCCTTTGAATTATGGAATAATACATAATTCTTTAGGAGCAATGTTATGCTCTTCTTTTGTTTTAGTGGCTGCAGTTAATGAATAAGTTATTTGTAATTTTAATGTTCTTACTTACTAAGCCTTTATATTACATGACATTATATTTAATATACTTTTAGGCATATTTGATGAATGTTAATCAAAATATTTAGTTAATTAAACTAATAACCAATCTGGTAATGTAACATCCAATATAGGTTAATTAGTTTAACCATTAAATAAGTCACTCTTACTACTCTACAATTTATTTGAGAAGTATTGAATACCAATTAAAATTAATAGGTATCATATCAACATAAAAGATCAATTACATATTCATCATAATGAGTTTATCCTTAAAATACTATAATTGAATAAAGTGGTTTCTAAAAATTAAAATCTATATTTATCAAATTATTTGGTTTATCAGAATCTACCTTTTGTTTTATTGCTAATTTCAATTTATATTTATACTTCACCTAAAACTGAAGAGATTAATGGAGTATCTTCTACAAATTAAGTTAATTTATAATATCTATCAGAAAATAATTATTCTTCAGTTAGCATCAAGAAAATTTATAATTGATTTAATTTATTAAAATGAGATGAATCAATTTTATGAATAAACTTTGCGATTTATTTTAAATGACTTAAAATATAAGGATAATATTCTTTTGAATCCAATGATGCATATTTCTTCAACATCAAAAGCAATTAAATGAAACCTGCTGGTTTTATGATATCTGATATGTTGACAAAAGGAATGCTTTAGAATAATTTACACAAAACTTTAATTGCACTGAATCTTTATTATTAAGATGCTATATTGTTATGAATGTGTTACATTAATTTCTAATTGAATTCATGATATTTTAAAACATCATGCATTAACGTTGTTATTAAGTGAGTTTAAGGTAGTTTTTATAAAAGATTTTAATTAATATCTTTCTATTTAACTCCAGTAATTTGTAGAAAACTTATTTAAGATTATTGTAATTCAATTTAAATGTTTTTAACATTTGCTACAAGAGAGGCAGGTATTTCACATATATATTTATTATAATTACCATAAGAATCTTCTCTAAATTAACATTAATTTTTATCTAAAACATTACCATTTACTTTTAAAGTAATATCTTTAAAATGCTCAAATGATTCTTAACTTTAAATCAATTACTCTCCTAAGTTTTCTTTAACAACAGTACCATAAGCAACAAAATAATTTAAAGTAAGAGGATTTTATTCAAATTTTACTTAATCAGTCGGTTTTGCTGAAAGAGTCATATTTTCCTATTTTTGGATTTTCTAAAGAAAATGTTATTTATTCTTCATTTGCTCCTAATTCAAAAAATGCTGCTGGTTCCCATGGTTTTAAAGGTCTAACATCTTTCTATCGCTCTTATAACCATAATTGATATTTTTCGTTATTGAAATTTTAGAATTTTTTAGCAAAATTAAAAATCATTAGCATTGTTTCCAATAAAAATCAATCCAGATCCCAAAGGAACTCCAGAATTTTAAAATTTATTTAGACTAGCAATTGAAAATTTTGAAAAACTCATTAATCTTCCATGTAAATGCTTAAATATAAATTCTGGTTTTGAATAAACAGTAGAAAATATTTCTTATTGAACAAAACATATTTTTGATATACATTACTAGACATTAAATTGTGATCCTTTATGACTGAAAATAGTTAATGGCAATTAATCATCTTTTTCAGGTTTTAATCCATCAATTGATACCCATCCCTCTGATTTAACAGCAGATTTCTTATCACTGAATCCTGTTACTAACAATTTCATCATCTGTTACTATTTAGATAAATGTAACTCTATTTAATTTTAGCTTTTTTAATTAATATCTATTATTATATTAGCCCATGATTCTCCTTTTTTTTATAATAAGAGCATAGGATTTGGACTAATGTTCATTTAACTTTGTTAAATCTGAAATTTCTTGTGAAAATAAATAAAGTTATTTGCAATTTCAAATATCTTATCACAATTGAACTCTTTCATTGAATTTTAGAAATTTTCTGCAAAATCTAAAATAGGTATTTAAAATTCATTTTTTTATGTAAATAAATTGAGAGGTTCTTGGATAATTTAAATTTGGATGTTATGCTAATGGGTTTAAAGCTGCAACCTTTCCATGTGCTGCAAATTATACTAAAGGAACTTATGCAGCATTTTTTTCAATAGGAAGTGTTTTTTTTTTAATTATGATTTCCATTTAAATAAAAATTAACTTCTCCTAATTCAATATTTAGAATAACTGTGATTGTTTTTCTAGTGCTTGCTGTAAAAGTTTGAAGATAATTTTTCTCTTGTCCTGGTTTGCTGACAGTACTTACTCCAATCTTGAATTTTAACTAATATATACTTGCATTTATACACAATCATATATTACAATAATATATGATTGTGATGGGCCTTTAGACATTAACAGAGTACCATATTTCTTAATTATATTTGTATTACCACAACATTATACTACTTCTACTAATCCAGATGGCGTGACTAATATGTTAAATTCAGAAGACTTGGCAAATTACTATCTAGAAGAATAGTGATAAAGATATTGTACATTAATGATTAAGCATAAGGTTATCTTAAATATTCTTAAAGGATTTCACATTTGACTTAATTAACACTGTAATTAGCTTCTTTAAGATAGTGATGCATTTTTATTAAATTAATTTGTTTAATTCATTCAATCCCAAATGACTCTAAATATTGTTCATAGAGATCACCAGGTATCACTGGTCAGTGATTTTCCGAGAAAAATGTAAATATTTTTATTAATAAATTTTAATGCAAAGAAGATAAGATTCAAACAATAACAGAATTCAAATATCTATTAATCGTTCAGTTGAGGTTAGAAATACTCACTAAAACATTTCACCTTTATAATCAAATCATCTGATATCTCCTTAAATTTACAAACACTTATAATTACCTTCAATTAAACAATCAAGGACACCAAACTACAAAAATATGTCATCACTTGATTAATAAACTATGCGAACTCGATCAATTTCCAATATGGTTTCCAAAAATTCATTACTTGTTTCAACATAATTTGAAGAAGAAGAGGAAGCTTAACAACTAGATTTGAAAGTTAAGTCTCTTTCAAATCAAAGAAACTAATTTAGAATATAAATTGTATTTCATGCAATCATCCAAATTATTAAGGTTCTTCATCATCATCTTTTCTGTTTTGCAGATTCTATTCTATAATTTAATTCATATAATTTAATCTCTTTTAGTAATTCTCATCTTATATTAATTTTTCATATTTCCCTATCACTTTATTCACTTCATATTTCACACAAATTTTATCTTCAGCATTATTTAATTCTAAAGCAAAATCAAATGTAAATTTATCAATTTCACTTAATCCATTAAATATTGTCTAATAATCTTATTAATGCTTACTGAAACATTAAATAATCACTTTTTCCATCAAATGGATACTTTCCAAAAACTATATGATAAAATAGCACTCCCAGTTTATTTACCTATACAAATAATCTATTGATTATTACCTATTCTACCATTTCCACTTCCTTCTATCTTCTATCGTTAGATCATTCATATCTCTTGCAAGTCCAAAATCTATAAACTTTATTTTTTTATCTTAAGTTAACAGTATGTTTTCACTTTTTATATCTCTATGAACTATCCCTTATTTATGAATTGAATTTATTGCTTTATTAAAATTGAATATATTTACCTTTTAGAATTTCTGAAATATAGTATAGACAAATGGGAAATGCTCTAGCTCCAAAATTATGAATTTGTTACCACAATTCTCCTCCATCAATGTATTACATTAACATATATAAATTTTCATCATCTTAAAATGTTGAGTATAATCTAATAACATAGGGATTTTCAGTAAGTTTGCCTAAACAATGCTTTTCCATATAAACATCTTTTTCCTTGTTTACTTATGTTAATTTTCTTTTATTAATCTATTTTAATGCATAGAGTTAATTAGTTTCAATTTCTCGAACTCTAAATATATCTGAGAAGTTTCCATGACCTAAAACTTCAAAATCTGCAAAATCTTCAATTGCTTTCTTTCCTTATGCTTTTCTCTCTGCTCTTTATTTTTCTCGCTATTATTTTAACAATATTTCAGAACAGATAAATTTATGATCTTTCCAGTCTTTTTTTTAACATTCTATTGAACAATAATAAATGGATTTGCATTAAGAACATCTTGATAATTCTACATCTTATTTTTTACAAACTTAACAGCTATCTTAAGTCTATTCTGTATCAGAACGCATGATAAATGTTATTTGAATAATTAAAAAAATATAAATTTTTAAGTTCTTCTTTAAATAAAATAATTATTTTAAATATAAAATCATACATAATAAATGTTTTGAATGTAAATTTTTGTTAGTAAAAACTGTCAGCCTTATAATAGAATTCAAGAGATGAAAAACTAATTGCATAAAATAATTTTTAATTTATACAATATAATATTTTAATATTGTAATATGAATGCTAACCCGAAAGATGCATTCTCAGTTTCCTTATAAAAATTTCATCGAAAAAGTGTTCATTCATAAATGGCAAATACAAGTGGATGTAATTAATTAAGTGATGCTTCTACTATTCCACTTCCTGAGTTGAAGGTTAGAGGATTGCAAAGTGCAAAAATAAAAGCATCACCAAAAAGATCTCCTCACGTTTTAAAATTTTATGTACATGATGCTTAATGTTTGCTTAAGGATCCAATGAAAAAAGCTAATGTATGATTCAGTTTTATTTATGGATATAGAGAAGATATGAAAACTAATCTGACTATGTATTTGTGGACACTTACTTAGATGCATTACATATGATAGCACAAGAAGAAAGAAAGAATAAGTAAGCTAATGGACATACTATATAATCTGAAGAATTTTCAGAATAACAAATTTCAATCAATCCTTAACCTACTTTGCCTAATATACCAGCTTAATTGATAAGAGATAGAATGAGAGTTTATGCATAAAGTTAATAAAAAGATCCTTAATCTAGTAATTCTTAATTCTGATAAATTAGTAGAATCTCAACTAGCACAAAGATAGCCTAAGAAAGTAATCAAAACTGCAACTAGTTTAATGACTAAAAAGATTTTACCAAATAAACTAACTGTATCATTATCAGTTCATTAAGCAATCCCTCCTATTAAACATAAAGTTAGTGCTAAAAGATGGGTTATGTTTACAAAATAGAAGAATGAGNAAAAACATCTTTTTCCTTATTTACTTAAGTTAATTTTCGCTTGTTTATCTATTTTAATGCATATAGCTAATTAATTTCAATTTCTCGAACCCTAAAAATATCTGAAAAGTTTTCATGACCCAAAACTTCAAAATCTGCAAGATCTTCTATTGCTTTTTTCCCTTATGCTTTTCGAACTGCTCTTTGATTTTCTCTCTATTATTTTAATATTTTAATTACATTTCAGAACAAATAAATTTATGATCTTTCCAATCTTTTTTTAACATTCTATAGAACAATAATAAATTGATTTGCATTACGAACATCTTAATAATTCTGCACCTTATTTCTTACAATCTTAACAGCTAAAAAAGTAATAAAAACTGCAATTAGTTTGATGACCAAAAAAATTTTCACAAATAAACTTACTGTATCATTATCAGTTCATTAAGCAATTCTTTCTATCAAACATAAAAGTAAGTGCTAAAAGATGGGTTATGTTTACAAAATAAAAGAATGAGAATTTTTTTAATAAATAAGTTGGATGGCAAGAATTTTAGAAAGGTGAAGTAGCTAGTATTACAAAGATAATGACATGTTCTACAACGTTGACATATTCAAAAGAATACAATATTGAGCCTGATCAAATAAAAATAAAAATTCTTGGTCATGCTGAATGTATTGGTGGAACTAGTGCCTTTTTAAATGCTGGTGGAGTATTAACTATTAAACTATTGTTATTTGCTCTTATGTTACCATCTGGAAATGATGCAGCACTTGTTTTGAGTTTCACTAGAGCTTATTTAATGATATTAAAAAAGACTGAGATCTATTAGTATAATCGATATCTAAAAGGTGCTATAGTAGACATAGAACCATAAATTGAAAGAAATAAAAAATACCTTCCTTGATCAAACGAATAAACATGCAAATGTTATAAAAATGGAAAATACTAATTATTCCTCTGTTCATGGTTTGAATGATGAGAAGAATGTATCATGTCCTCATGATATAAGGTATTCTTATTTTCAATAGTAATTAGTAAATTAATAAAGAAATGCATTTAGTTAGATGTGTTTCTAGAGATAATTACAACCAAAATTTATAAGACTCAAGCCATAACTGATAAGGGTAATAAATCAATTTATTATAAATGGAAAAATACAAACAAGTTACTTAAAAAGTCTGGCTGAATAGGATTTAAGGCAGGTGCTACTCCTAATCCTGAACCATGCTTTACAGGATATTATAAAAATGATAATCTAGAAGTTATAATTATTGTCTTAAATTGTTCTTGATGAGTTAAAGATTTAGAGATGCAGAAGTATTACTTGTCTCAGCATTAAAATGATAATATTAATTTATTTATTAAATTTATATCAATGAGTGATATATTAGTAATCACTTAAGAGCTAATCAACGATGATAATAGGTAATTTTTAGAATTATGTATTTAGAACCATCAATTGCTTCACAGTAAGCGATCCAAGAAGAAAGAATAAATTCATATATCAATATTTGTCTGATTTCTATTTATCTTTTACAATTCTTTTAGAAAATCTCCATCTATGTACTATGGTGATTTAATTAACGTCTGACTCAAGAAAATTATTAATCTAATTAATGTAAAGTTTAGCTGAAAGATTGACATAAACTTAAAAATAAATCTTTTTTGATAATTTTGATGAGGAAGTATTGTGGGAATGCGATTTTTTTTTTTAGGATACATTTTCTTAAAGAAAGAGGAAAATTAATACAGATATTATCAATTTTTGTCAAAATAAATTTTGGTCTATGAAAGATGAAAACGAAGGTTATAGCAAATTGATGGTTGAAGTTTTAGATTCATCAAAACGCATTGATATCTATGATGAAGAAAATTAATAAAGAATTGAAAATATTATTCATTTAATTGGATATTTTAATTTTGATCCAGATAGAGTTGTTGATATCATCATTCTCCATCTAGTTTATCATAAATAACATAATCAAAAGAATGATAATTCATTTTTCATAATCTCAAAGAATCAATATTCAATATGAATAAAATTCTTCTATTCTAATACTTATTTTAATCGTTCAGTAAAAAATTAACAAAAATTTCCATCTTCTGTTCTCTTATACTTTTTATCCTAAATATTCTTAAATACAAACTGTAATGCAGAAATTGATATGGAAATATAAAAGACTTATTTTAAAAGAACTTAAGTAAAATTT